TCAGAATCATGAAGCATGGTAACACAGCCCACAAACCAGCCCGTGGGTTCGTTGCGAATCCGCCGACGTTGATGCCCTATTTCGCACAAGCTCCTCGCGACGTGGTTGGAGGCGAGGTTGGACGGGCAAATGGGGTTTGTCACGGCAGGCAAGCTCCATAATTGCCGTTGTCTTGAGTGGAAACAGTGCACACTATGTGCTTCAAAACGGGGTGCGGTTGCCCGTGCTAGAAACAGAAGTGATGCGGGAAGCTTTTGTGAGAGAACTGAGACGTGACTGACTCGGGAAACAAGGGTACTGAACAGGGCTAAGTTTTCGTTTTTGAAGACCCGGACGAAACAGGATTCGCGCTCCTGAGGACCTTGAAAAAACAGGATTCCTTGGGAAAATCCAGTTTTTTTTCAGGATGACGCCTAAGTTGAAATCTGAAATGAAGAATGAAGACACTCTCCTTGGAGTATCGTATCCAGAGAAGCAAGAGCAAGTGAGTCCAACCAACACACCAAACTGAAACATATGCATGCAGCAGTTGAAACAATCATGACATGACACACTTGCCGCTACTCCACCAACACCACACCAAGCCTAATTCGACACTTCACTCCAGCTAGGCTGCAAACTACAGAAAGCCCTGGCGAGAGAAATGCCTACGACTGCGTTCAAGAAAAGAACAGCCTAACAGAGGGATAGTAGGGGGGGTAAGAGAGGGAGGAAAGAAACAAATTGCCGTGCCAGAGCTTCAAGAATCAGATGCTGCAAGTCTTTTTGCGCCGCCTTAAATCTCAGCCATCGCTCCCAATCTCAGCTGTCCCATTAAAACACATCAAGGGCGGGCCTCCTCCTGCGCATTGACATGAAAACAGCATGCACCTCCACCCAGTCCACTTCGAACTCGAGCATCTTCACAGCCATAAGGTCCCCCAGGCGCACGTCAGAAAGACAAGTGCGATCCCAACTCTTGATTATGTTTTGCCTAGAAAAACCCCGCTCACACTCGACGGTGCTTAGCGGGAGCATGGCGATGGCGCGCCACAGATTCATGATGTTCGGGAAGTACACGCCCCAGTCCTCGTTGGCGAGCATATTGGCCAGGCTTTGCTGGAAACTGTGGCCAGGCTTTGTATCGAATCATGCAAACTCAACCTTTAGTGTTTCAGCATTGCAAGTTGTGGTACAACATGTCAGCCACAAAATGCGCTATTAACTTATTACTAACCTGGGAGGTAGCCATGAAACAAGTCCGCTGCTGCTGCAGCCAAACGTCGAATGAAGTCTCTCGCTCTCCTGCCCTCGGCAGGTACTCACGAGGGCGGAAAAAACGCGCCCCATCAAGGTTGCGAAGGTCACCAAGGTGGCGGTTGAGAGCTGCAATGAGCCGTCTCGCATACTCAGCACAAAGCTTCTTGCATGAAGCTTGATCGGTGCCATAGGTGCCGCCAATGGAGCGCTCATGCAGGATGATGGTGCGAGTCGTAGGGGAACCATCTGCAGCAAAGCCCTCAATCACCATCTCGCGGCACTCCGCAGGACCGTGCTTGGACAGGAAAGGGGACAGCCGAGGGCTAACACCAGCGCCAAACTGGTTGTTAGGCTCGACGTAGTGTTGTGCTAGCTGGATGCACACATCCTCCAGCCGGCGCTTGACTCCCACGATTTCAACCTGAGGATGGAATTTATGGAGAAGATTAGCTTAAGAAATGAAGAATTACAAAATAAGAACCATAAACAACCGCAATCATCCCACCTGCCTCTCCTGGAAGTGCAGGTTAAGAGTGTTCAGCATGACATGCACGTCTGCCATGAAGAAGAGCATAAACAGGAACTTGAAAGAGCTTCCTGTTTCGAGCAGGCTGTGATCCTCCTCGTTCCTCAGCCACAGAAGAGCGGGAAGCACGTCGCAGAACCTGTTGATGGCTTCTCCTGGGGATAGCCACCGCACGTTGTACATTCCCTGAACCTCAAGTTGGGTGCGGAAAATCTCCTGCTGCAAGTGGAGGAAATTCTGGCGGCTCACATGAGACCTTCCCAGAATTTCAGCAGTGCTCCTAACTTGTGCGTCGATCGGGTTGACGTCAGGCATTCGGGATGCTGCATCCTTGGCAGCTACTGCCTCCCTGTGAATTGTAGAAAACAATATAACGAGGCATTAAATGAGGCTTCCAATTACTTTCAAATACATGTAGGTTGTAAGTGGCAAGGTTATTAAGTGCTCCTATTTCCAGCAAGTATAGCATTAGCTTTTGGTCACCTGTGGGCGATGCAATGAGTTGAAACAAGCCATGGGAAGGTCTGTCGCAAGCGTGCCACCAGCCCCGCCTGCTGTCCGGTCATCACCGAAGCCCCGTCGGTGGAGATCCCGACCAGCTTGTCTAGCAGGATGCTGCATGACTCCAAGAAGGATGTGAGAGCCGTGAGGAGGGACTCAGCATCTGCCCTCTCCACTGACAGCAAAGCGAGAAATTGGGTGACAACCTGCCGGTCCCCCTCATACGACACGTAAACAATCATGTGTTTACCGTGCGCACGGACCGTGGACTCATCAAGAGAAAGCCCATACCATGGACTTTCCCTGATGTAGCGCAATTGCTTGTCCTGAAGATGTTGTGCCAATGCTGTAGTGAACTCATTCATGGCATACCTGCCATGTACACATCAGACGCAAGAGGTGTGAACCTGCTTGTTAAGTTCACGATAAAAAAATGGCACAAGAAACAGCGACATGCTTCACTCATTACAGCAGCAAAACAACACAACGGTGCAGCAAAAGTAGCAACTCACTGGGAAAAGTAGTGGCCGTAGGATTCTGTGCCAGCCATGTCAGGAATGCCCTCGTCCACCAAGAAGCGGACAAGAGTTGGATACAGCAGGATCGGTGCATCATTGCGGCACACAAAGTAAGCGGCATGGATGCAGCGAACAATGTGTCGTTTCACTGCGTCGAAGTCCGCGTACTGAGTCATGCATCTCTGATTTCGCTCCGTGCCATCTGCCGTGTTCTTCCGTGCAACAGCCAATTGATGCTAGTCTTCTGGAAGTCCCGAGCATCGAGACCATTCCTGCCATACTGTGTGTGCCCCCCATCGTCACCATGCTCCAAGCAAATGGCGCATTTCAGGCCATACTGGTGCGAAGATTTGTGGTACTCGAGGCACAGCCACTCAAAGTGGTCCCGCCATTCACGGCGGTAACGGCGGGCAATGAGTCGCTCCGCTGTAGGAATGGGGTTGCCCTCGTCATCAACGGGAGCATCATCCTCCGTGGGCTCAGGGACAGTGGTGCGGCGGCACCTAGGCTCGGGAGGAGGCGCAAATGGAAGGATGGTCTGACGAGACCTCCTTCTAGTACCAGCATGGGACGCAGCGGCTTCATCCTCACTAGCAGATTCTGGCTCAAGAACGCCCTAAGTGAAGTTCAGAGGTTTGGTTACTTCGTCATCATCAGACATAACCTCGACTGTTGGCTCAGCTGAGGGCTCTTCATTGCCTATGTCCTTGGGGTCATCAGAGACATACTGCACAGGGACAACGACGGGGTCTACTGCAGGGGTGGTGTTGTCAGCCATGAGAGGCTGCCTTCTCTCTACAATGAGCTAACTTGGTTGAGACTTGCCTTTTCAAGCTGAAAGCCACCTTGCCCATGCCTCGGTAAGAGTACACAATGCACATAGCCTAGAAAACCACTTCTTGCATTGAGGCACCGTGCGCTTCGCACCGCCGCAGTGGGGGAAAGGGTGTTGAAAGAGCGGTGCGAGCAATGTGCGCTCCCATGTTTGAGTGGGAGCGATGCAAATTTGGCTGGCATCGTGGCGAAATATGGTCACGATCAAGTGCAACAGTGCTGCTCCAATTACCGTTATGGCAAGTCATGAACGTGACTAAGAAGAATTCCCCAGAGTGTGTCTGTAATGTGAGATATTTGAATTGCGTTGCGACAAACCACAAGAGGGAGGGATGGAGGGCAGGATGAATGACACAAATGTTGTGTGATGTCATCATATGCTATCACATTCTGTCTGCCTCCCATCCCTTGTTTCAATTCGCATGTATGGTTTGACTGTGTGTGAAAGAATTTGTGTGGTGTGTGTTCTGGAGTTTGGGAATGTGTTTTGTGTTATTCTTTCTGAGCAGGGATTTGTGGTAATAGATCTTGAGAAGATCTTTCCGACGCAACAAGAATCGCTTCAATCGGAGCAAGAACGCGAAAGCTATGAAGATTCAAAGTTCATGAGCTTGCGTTACAATTGCGGCGGTTACAATGTGAATTTGTGGGGTGACTTTATATGGAGTTGGGACCTTTGGGGTTGGGGAAATTCGTCACTCTACTGTAACAGCTGCAAATTGGTTGGGAACAACCAAGCTAGGTTGGCAAGGGTGGCCAACTTGGATGGATTGGTTGGGAAGGGACAAATGTCAAAGTTGGGGTTCCTATAGGGAGGGAATCTTTGTGCTTATGGGGTTTCCTTGGTTGAGGACTCTCTTGGGACCTTCCCTCTCATCCCTCTCTTTCCATCCTAACCTTTCTCTTGCTCCTCTAATTCCTTGTGAGAATCTTGAACCTTGATTGAACTTTTTGAGATTGAGTTAAGTTCTCCTCCTACAGCTTACCCCCCAGTGCGTCGAAAGACATAGCGTCGCGAATACTCCATCAATTGATGTGATTCAAATTGCGAACGGTAGCTACAATATAGAGCTACAACATATCCGAGTTTCGTGACATTCCAACAGCTAGTTTTTTGTCGACGTTGTTTCTTGTGAAGACGACTTTTCTGTCCAGAATTTCGAATTTATATTTTGAGTAATTCTAGCTCCCAAGTTCATCTAGACTCCGTCCTGAATACTAACAAGTGGTATCAGAGCCATATTGAGCACATTGAGAGAAGTCTACAGAAGTGTGAAGACCCTTCTAGACCCACCATGGCTTGTGGGCGTGCCTAAGTGGTGTTCTAAAGGTTGGATGTGACTTCCGCTAAGGGAAAACTCTGACGAAATTTCGTGGACGCCGACACTTGTGAAAATATCGAGGGAGCTGAGTGAGGACAGCAAAGGGGGAGCTGAAATTCGTCATTTCTCAAGGAGAAGATGAATGAGAGAGGAGGAGATGCTAATGGAAGAGGAGCTGTACCTGAGAAGACAAGTGAGCCGCCACCATCAAAAGTTGAAGCTTTGGATGGCTCCAACTATGAGGAATGGAGCGGGCGGATGAGGAGTGCCTTCAAACGCTACAAGCTACTGAAGATTGCTGTTGGGGAGGAGAAGATGCCGGAGGAAGGCGAAGAACGCGAACGGTGGATTGAGAAAAGCACGGTGCTTTTCGACCTCATCCTTCAATCGGTCAACAAGGAGATGTTCGAGCACATCAAGGATCTTGTGGAAGCGGATGATTCGGGTCCAAGGGCGTGGAAACTACTACGCGATGTGATTCAGCCCAACACTCTGCCGATGGTGATCGTGCTCGAGAAGGAACTTGCTGCCATCTCCATGCGACCAGGGGACGATGTGAAGCCGGTCCTTGATAAGATCAAGGACACCTATGCAAGGATGGCAGCAGCGGGTAGCAGCGTATCTCAGCTACAGCAGTGCACCAAGATCATCTCGGTGTTGGACAACTCTTGGGACAACCTCATCCCCACCCTCAACTCTCAGCAAGATCAATGGACACCTGAGTGGCTAAGGCAGCAGATTCTGCAGGAGGACTTCCGCAGACGCCATGTGGGAGGCGGTGCTTCCACTAAGACTGCTGAGGGGTATGGAGCTGCAGGGCGCGGCAGAGGAAGAGGGGGTTGGAGAGGCCGAGGCCGTGGGAGGAGCTTTGGCAGAGGTAGAGGCCGAGGTGACTATAATGAAGGGCATGGGAGCTCTAGTGGCAGGGGGAGAACCAGAATGGAGGGCACCTGCTGGTACTGCAAGAAATTCGGGCATCCTTGGTTCAAGTGCTTCAGCAGGCCGGAGGGATGGGCACCTCCAGGCATGAAGCCGCCAAGTGGTGAACGCGCACAAGGTGGCGCTGTGCAAGGCTCAGGTGCACAAGGTGAAGGTGCACAAGGTAATGCCTATCCTGGGATGTTTCTCATGGTTGAGGATGTGGATGGGCATGAGGGTGATGTGGGATCTGTGGGAAAGGTTGTAATGCACCCTCTCACGCACTGGGTGATTGATTCAGGTTGCACCAGTCACATGACCCCACGGGCAGATTTGCTTGACGAGGTAAAACCCCCTGGGAAGATTAAGTATCTGGCAGCAGCATCAGGTGCTTTGCTCCCTGTGATTGGTGTTGGGAATGCCAAGGTTAAGGGAGCTAATGGGGAGCTTGTGGGGCTTGGGAATGTTATGCTGGTTGAAGGTTTGTCTGCTAACCTTCTCTCTGTGCGACGACTGCAGAAGAGCAAGGCTGAAGTGACCTTTGGACCAACCAGCTGCCGTGCTAAGCTTGGGCAGAAGGTGCTGTGGAGTCTGGAAGAGGAGACCAGCTGCATTAAGGACCTGTGGCAACTGCCCATCATCCTTTGGAATGGGAAGACTCCAACAGCAGCAACAGCAGCAGCGGCAAAGGCAACTGTAGGAGGAGATGCAACTGCACCAACTGATGGGGTCCAGGAAGCAGTCAAGCAAGTGCAGCAGCAGCAGACACATGGTGAGGTGCTTGCTGGTGTGGATGCGAGTGCGGCATGGGCTAAGGCTTCATCAAGGAGTGGTGAGGCCGATTAGGAGACATGGCATGAGAGGCTGTGTCATGTGAACTTCCCTATGCTGCAGAAGTTGGTGAAGGATGGGAGCCTGAAAGGATTGGAGGTGAAAGGGGGAGAGAAGGAGATTGGGAGCTGCCCTACATGCTTGGAGACCAAGTTCTCTAAGTTCCCCTTCAACAGCACTATAGGACCAGCCAAGACCCCACTTGCACTTGTGCACATGGATGTGGTGGGGCTCACAAGAGCCCCTTCCCTCTCAGGCAGCCGCTATTTCTTGATAATTGTGGATGACCACACTCGAGTAGTGTGGGTTTACCCTTTGAAGAGCAAGGGGGAGGTGGCAGCGGCTGTCCTTAAGGAGTGGATGCGTAGAGCTCAGAGGGAATGCGGACACAAGGTGAAGGTGATCCGCAGTGATAATGGTGGGGAGTTTATTGGAGCTGATTTTGAGGGGGAGTTGAAGAGGAACGGGATCCAGCATCAACTGACAGTGCCCTCCAACCCGCAGCAGAATGGCGTGGCTGAGAGATTCAACAGGACCCTGCAAGAGGGGGCACGCACTCTCCTTGGGCGTGCAGGGCTGCCTGATCCGTTTTGGGTGTCTGCACTGGGGCAGGTCGCCCTTGTGAAGAACAGGGTGCTGGCTACAGTTGGGGATAAGGAGTGGATCCCATATGCCAAGTGGTATGGGAGTGCTCCAGCTGTGAACATGCTGAGGGCATTTGGGTGCATGGTGGTATTTCATGTGCCTAAGGAGAAAAAGGGGAAGTTGGAGGCTTCTGGAAGATGGAGTGTGCACTTGGGAATTGCAAAGGATCACAAGGGGTGGCTGCTATGGGACTTGACCACCCAGAAGCTGACAGTGTCAAGGGATGTGAAGTTTCTTGAGTCCCTGTACTACAAGGAATGGAAGCAGCAGCAACAGAAGCTTCCATCTACACCGCTCATTGTGGAGGTAGATGAGGTGCAGCGGCCTTCAAGACAGGTGGAGGTTGCTGTGTCTGAGGAGGAGATGTCTAGGGTGACTGAGGAAGGGGGAGCAGCTGAAGTGGAGCAGCAGGAGCAGCAGCATGAGTCTCCATCTCGAGTTCCACACCCGCCTGAGCGACCTAGGAGGGATGTGCGCCCTCCGGTGAGGCTGACCTATGGGGGAAGAGACAAGCCGAATGTGGTGCAGGCTAGGAGTGTGGTTGAGCAGATTGAGGAAGATGAGATCGCTCACTGCTACTGGGCACCAATCCCTGAGCCCAAGACTCGAGAAGAGGCCTTGAATGGACCAAATGGGGAGAAGTGGAAGGCGAGTGAGGATGAGGAGTTTGGGTCCCTGATTGAGAATGAGACATGGGACCTGTGTGACTTGCCTCCTGGGAAGAAGGCAATCCCTTCCAAGATGATCTACAGGCACAAGTATGGACCTGAAGGGGAGCTGACCCGCTACAAGTCTAGGCTTGTGGCAAGGGGGTTTCAGCAGACAAAGGGGAAGGACTATGATGAGGTGTTTGCTCAAGTGGGGAAAGGAACAACACTGAGGGTGCTGTTGGCGATAGCTGCACTCCTGGGATGGAAGATACGGCAGATGGACATTGTGACTGCCTTTCTGAATGAGATCATTCTGGAGGAGGTGTACATGAAGCAGCCAGAGGGGCTGGATGATGGGAGCGGCAGGGTCTGCAGGCTGAAGAAGGCCATCTATGGCCTTAAGCAGGCGCCTCGTGCATGGTATCACAAGTTGGAGGAGGCGCTGTTGGCTGGGGGTTTCAAGAAGAGTGAGTGTGACCCCAGCCTGTTCCTGCTGCAGGAGGAGGACGAAATCCTCATGCTCTTGGTGTATGTGGATGATATCCTTCTCTTTTCTGCATCAACTGCTTTGCTGGACAGCGCAGAGCAGATGCTGGAGATGCAGTTCAAGTGCTCCAAGATGGGTGAGGTGAAGTACTACCTGGGGATGCATGTGGAGAGAGATGTGGAAAAGGGTGTGCTGAGGTTGCACCAGAGGAAGTACTGTGAGGGGCTGGCTGAAAAGTATGGGCTGCAAGATGGGGGAAAGCCAGCAACACCACTACCTTCGGGGTTTACTGTGGAGCCATGTGCTGATGAGGAGGTAGTGGGTGAGAGTGACAGGAAGCTGTTTCATTCGATGGTTGGGTCGCTGAATTATCCTGCAAATCATACACGGCCTGACATTGCATTTGCCACATCACGGTTAGCTAGTGTGGTCTCACGCCCTAGTCATGAGCAGCTGGAAGCGGCCAAGAGGTTGGTCCGCTATGTGAGTGCTACGGCATCAGTGGGATTGGAGTACAGTGGAGTGAGGCAGCGGTTGCAGAGAGGTGCTGCAGATGTGAAGAGTGGAGAGATGCTCTTGAGTTGCTATACCGACGCTAGCTTCAACTCGGTGAAAGCGGATGGCACCAGCATTTGGGGTTATGTGTGCTTGCTAGGAGGTGGTGCTGTGAGCTGGCGCAACAAAAAGCAGAATGAGGTGGGATTGTCCTCATGTGAGACTGAGTACATGGCCTTACACCATGGGGCCAGGGAAGTGGTGTGGCTGAGGCGTTTGTTGGAGGAGTTGGGAGTTGGTCAGGAGGAGCCGACAGTTGTGTTCTGTGACAATGAGTCTGCTGTGAAGCTCGCCAAGAATGCTTGTCTGCATGGGCTTACAAAACACATAAGGCCTAAGTGGCATTGGGTGAGGAGACTACTTGATAAGGAGGTGCGGCTGTAGATAGTGAAGACCCATCAGCAAGCAGCAGATATTTTCACTAAGCGTCTGGCGGAGGCGGATCATTGGAAGGGCATGAAGCTTGCTGGGATGAGTGTGCATTGAGTATGCATGGTTGAGATGTTGGTATGGTGGATGATGGTTGGCAGCCAGAGGGGGAGATTGTTGTGTGATGTCATCATATGCTATCACATTCTGTCTGCCTCCCATCCCTTGTTTCAATTCGCATGTATGGTTTGACTGTGTGTGAAAGAATTTGTGTGGTGTGTGTTCTGGAGTTTGGGAATGTGTTTTGTGTTATTCTGTCTGAGCAGGGATTTGTGATAATAGATCTTGAGAAGATCTTTCCGACGCAACAAGAATCGCTTCAATCGGAGCAAGAACGCGAAAGCTATGAAGATTCAAAGTTCATGAGCTTGCGTTACAATTGCGGCGGTTACAAAGTGAATTTGTGGGGTGACTTTATATGGAGTTGGGACCTTTGGGGTTGGGGAAATTCGTCACTCTACTGTAACAGCTGCAAATTGGTTGGGAACAACCAAGCTAGGTTGGCAAGGGTGGCCAACTTGGATGGATTGGTTGGAAAGGGACAAATGTCAAAGTTGGGGTTCCTATAGGGAGGGAATCTTTGTGCTTATGGGGTTTCCTTGGTTGGGGACTCTCTTGGGACCTTCCCTCTCATCCCTCTCTTTCCATCCTAACCTTTCTCTTGCTCCTCTAATTCCTTGTGAGATTCTTGAACCTTGATTGAACTTTTTGAGATTGAGTTAAGTTCTCCCCCTACAGCTTACCCCCCAGTGCGTCGAAAGACATAGCGTCGCGAATACTCCATCAATTGATGTGATTCAAATGGCGAATGGTAGGTACAATATAGAGCTACAACATATCCGAGTTTCGCGACATTCCAACGGCTAGTTTTTCGTCGACGTTGTTTCTTGTGAAGACGACTTTTCTGTCCAGAATTTCGAATTTATATTTTGAGTAATTCTAGCTCCTAAGTTCACTAGA